AACTCCCTCTCAAGGGCGCTGACCTTGTTCATGAGAGCGTTGAGGCTAGGATCGTTGGAGGCGTCGGCCGTGGGGATGTTTGCCGATTGCCTGGCCTCCATCTGGGCTAGCCTCCTTTCCAGCTGAGTGATGACCTCGTCCCGGGGATCCCCGACGGCTGCAGCGGCACCCTGCTGGTTCTTCATGCGCTCGTCGTGGGCCGCATTGATCTGGTGGCGCACGTTGTCCTCGTGCAACTTTCCCTTGCCCTTGTCCAGGTGGGGCTGGTCCGCTGTCCGGGACACAGACCCCAAGCTTTCTCTTGGCGAGCCAGACCGATGCTCACCAATCCGCCCTGCCATCCTCTCCAAAACCAAACGACGGCGCGTGTCACCTAGCCTATTGAAGGCGGAGGCTTTTCCACGCGCTGGGGTCTGCCCAGGCCGAAGAGGGGAAGCGGGGTGGGAGTGGGACGACGCCGTGTCCTGGGCTATCACCCCCTCATCGTTGCCTAACCTGACGGCCAACGGTTGGGGCTGAGGAGGTGGAGTGACGTTCCCCCCAGTCCTCTGCAAGAGTGCGCTGAGGACGGTGGGGTTCTGGGCCAAACTGGCGATGATGACTGACAATGCAGCCTGAACCTGTGGATCAACAAATGGAGAAGCCGCGGCCATAAGCAGGCCCGGGCGTGGTCTGTCTTCTCTGCTCGTTTCTTGTCCAGGCCGATGCGGGCATCAGGGGCTCCGCCGTTGAGTTGGTTGCGGAGGTCCGTCGTGAGGTTGATGGCCTCCTGGAAGACGTCCCCTCCGCCGACCTGGTCGGCCGTGGCGTCCTCCTCGCGCTCCCTGGTCTCCTGGTCCTCAGGGATGGCCTTGCTGACGAGGTTGCGGTTTGACTTGGTTCTTCCCATGATCAGTGGTTAATTGTGCTTGGTAGTGACGAAGGGTGCTAACTTGATTGTTCTAGCTCTCAATGAAAGCACCAAATGATAGAGTATATATCTAGAGAGAAGTGAGAGCTAGAGAGAGAAGTGCAAGTAAATGCTTCAATAGAATGATTTTGTAACCCCTACAACTACCTCCAGAGGAAGTATTTATAGGAAAAATACGGGCTGGGCTCCCAAACTTTGGGCTTGGGAGGCCCATTTACAACTAGACCGCTATTGGGCCGAACACAAAGTAAATGATGGGATACATAAATGAATAAGTGTAAAATCTAGTTCCGCGAGACCTCCGTGGCCGACGAGGGCACGGCCGATGAGGACACCCTGGTTCCCTGGCATTAGGATCATATTCTGAGTCGGTCCCTCTTCGGCCGACGAGGGCACTGCGTAGTGGCTTGTGCTTTCTGTTCTTCTGAGTATGTGGGTCCTGGGGCCTAGACCCATATACTCCATCACTTACAAAATAGATTGGCCGCTGGATGTCATCTTCTTCTTTCAATAATACCGTGCTCACGGCCAGGTCAGCTACAACAAGGTACATATACAGGTGTTCCCCTGGATCGGGTTTTGTCAAGACCTGGGGGGAAGATAGATATGCCTTGAAATCTGCAAAAGCTGTTTGACACTCGGCGGTCCATTCAAAGGGGTTGGCTTTTTTCATGATCTGGAAGAATGGAATAGCTCGATCGGCTAGCTTGGATAGGAATCTGCTCAGAGCTGCTAACCGACCAGTCAATCTCTGCACTTCCTTGAGGTTTCTAGGATCCTCCATATCCACAATTGCCTTTACCTTTTCAGGATTGGGCTCAATCCCCTTCTCGCTCATCATGTATCCCAAAAACTTGCCCTCTCTCACAGCAAAAGCACATTTTTGGGATTCAGACTCATGTTAGCTTTCTGCATTATCCCGAACACCTTTTCTATGTCCAGGATATGATTCTCCTTCTTTCGGCTTTTGATCAGGATATCATCAACATAAGCCTCCATTGTGACTCCCAACACTTCTTTGAACAGCATCCCGATCATCCTCTGAAAAGTTTCCATTGCGTTCTTTAACCCGAATGGCATGACAATATAGCAAAACACACCATCCGAAGTGACGAACGCTGTTTTCTCTGCATCATCTGGGTGCATGAAGATCTGATGGTATCCCCGGAATGCATCCATGAAGCTCAACAATTCACATCCGGCCGTTTCATCAACTAACAAATCGATCCTCGGCACTGGATAAGGGTCCATGGGACAAGCTTTATTCAGATCCGAGTAATCCACGCACATCCTCCAAGTAGATTGTTTTGGAGCTAGGACCACATTGGATAGCCATTCGATGTGGATTACTGGACGGATGTTTTTTATTCTCAGCAAGGTGGCCACTTCCTGCTTTGTGAAATCCCGCCGTTCGGTTGCTTGATATCGTTTCTTTTGCTGGACTGGTTTTGCATCAGGCCGAACGGCAAACTTGTGACAGATTATCTTTGGGTCAATACCCGGCATATCTTCCGGCCCTCGGGCGAATCATACCTGAAACTTTTTTAAGACAGCAATCATGCCATCCCGAATGTCAGCCTCCAGATCCACCCCGATAGCTACCTTCCGGTTCGGGGGGAAATCCAGGTCAATTTGCTCGAGGAGAGTGGCAGGTTCTGGATGTGCCTCGAACTCCGTTCGGTGGGTCTCCACCTCAATACTGTTAACCCGCATTCCACGGATGTTCATCTGCTTCAGGGCCTCTCGGTAGCATGTTCGGGCTGTCGCCGAATCAGTTCTGGCCACCCCAACCCCGATGTCCGTGGGGAATTTGATGCACGAGTGGCGGACAGAGGCTATTGCCTCTAGATCTTCCAATCCTGGTCGTCCCAAGATGGCATTATAGGCACATTTTATGTCCACCACTACGAACGTCATTCGGAGTGATGCCTTGTGCGTTTCGTCCCCAATTTCAACTAACAATTGGATGGTCCCCTCAGCCTCAATACAGTTACCGGTGAAGCTCGCCAGTGGGGTTCTTAGGTAGGTCAATTGACTTCTCTGTAGGCCCATTTTCTCGAATGATTGTAAATACAATACATTCACACAGCTCCCGGTATCGATCATTACCAGGCGAATCAAAGCATTGTCAATGCACATGCTCACCACCAATTCATCCCTGTGCGGGCTTGGCGAGTTGGGTAAATCAGCCGGCCCGAACGTGATCGGGTCCGTCCTTCCTTTCTTCTGGGGGGTGGAGATGGATCCTACATAAAGACTTCCCTCGAACCTTTTCCGTTCGGTGTTCGAATCCCCTGTTTCCCCGCCCCCAAATATAACCTTGACCTCCATTTGAGGTTTCTTTCCGGGGCCTCCCGAGCCCTCTGGTTCATCCCTGGGGGGAATATATACGTCATTCTGGGGCTGGGCATCACGTTGGGCATCCCGTCGCCAGCTGTTGGGTTTCCTGATCGGTTTTAAAGTGCCTATCGCACTTGGGTCCTTACTCACATACTTGCCCAGATGACCCCGCCGGATCAAGTCCTCAATAACCGTTTATAGTGCCCTACAGGCGTTGGTGGCATGACCTTTCCTGTTATGATATTTACAAAAAGCAGACTCGTCTGCTCCCATATACTGTGAAGAATCAGTCGGAAGGGGAATGTTGTCCTTCTCATTCTGATAAATGGTTGCCACGGACAGGACCAGGGGAGTAAATCGCCCTTGCTTAGGAGGGAGAGCGGCCACTGGGGTAGGACCCAGCCGATCAGCCATCTTGATTGGGGCAGTAGACGCAGCGACCTTGTCCCTGATCATAATCTCTTCTTCCAGGGCAGCATGCTTGCGAGCTCTGTCTAACACCTCGGCATATGCTGTACCTGGATTCTTCTTCAAATCCTTGTATAACTCCCCCGTTCGGAGAGCGTTTGTGAATAGGGTGATTGCGGTATCATCCGTCATATTTCCAACTGTCAGAGTTTCGTCCCTCCATCTTTTTAAGAATTGCTTGAGGGTTTCCTTGGAGTTCTGCTTCACGCCGGTCAGGTAGCTGAAGTGCCGTTTTGGGTTGGCTCTGGAAGCAAATTGGGCCAAGAATAACGTTGATAATTCGGTGAAACTGTTGATCGATCCGGGTTGCAGGGTCCCGAACCACTCCTGGGCGGGCCCTCTGAGCGTACTGAAAAACAACCGGCATATAGCAGCCTCAGGTGCTCCTAGTAGCATGAGTCCTCCTTGATAACTCCTTAAATGCACATGGGGATCTCCCACCTCGTCATTAATTTGACCGGCCGGTGGTTTGGCACCTCCCTGGATATCCGCATACATAATTTCCCTGGTGAAAGGGGAAGTAATCCCGAGCTGAATTGGGGCAGGCTGTACGGGCGCCCTATTCATCTGATCTCTCATCTCGTTCATCTGCCTCCTCATTTCAGCCATTTCTTCCTCCTGGGCCGTCAAAGGGGGCGGTGGTGGAGTCCTCAAATCTGTATACTCCCGATCACAATGCCTTTGAGCGGCCCTAGTATTATTCTGTTCGTCATGCTGGAAATGACGACCAATAGGAGTAGGTCCCCTGGCTTGTGACCCGATCGGGGTCCGGTCACTGGGAATATGATGCGCTATTGGTGGAGCGCCACGACGATTATCCCGATGGCCCCACGAGCGGGATGACGCCGTGGCCGTTTCTGTGTGTGGAGTTTCCCCTGTAAAATTGGATACTCCTTCCTCGTTTGCCATGTGTTGCATGACCTGGGCCATATCTCGCATGGCCTGAGGATTCCTCCTTAGTGCTTCAGGAATTACAAAGTCCCCATCAAAATGAGGATATGATCCTCAGCTGGATTGTCCCTGAGGGGTTTGATTTCCTGGGGTGTGACTCCTTCCGTGACGGCGCGAACCATCGTTTGTGTGATAAGAACTGATTCTGAACATTTTCAAAAATAGTTGTTTTGGGATAATTGAATGTGAAACTTTTTGAACAGTTTCCCACAGACGGTGCCAATGTTGAAGGTAACTCCCGTAGATCCGAAAGCCCAACACGAACTTTGGATATATCGGGAATGGACCAGAATCAAAGTGTATAACAAAATATAAAAGATGAATCCACTAATACCCAAAAGCCCACTTGTATTAATTAACCTGTCTGATTACAAGGAAAACTTCTCGATCGGTAGGTCGGAACAGTGCTTTAATACAGGAAACAAAAGTAATAATGCTATTCTAGAGCTTGAGTATTGAAATGCTCACCCTTACAATGATTTTAAACCTTCTATTTATACTAATGGAGAGCATGGGCTGCTCTATGCTGATTGGCCGTTGCTCCACCGACTTGATCATCCATGCTTCCACTTGCTGATGTCACAATCTGACATTAATTGCACCTGGCCACTTGTTGATTGTCCGTTGCTCGAACGGGATGCTGGACCTTGCGGATGACGCTGTCAATTTGGCCCAAGTATGTCATATGGTCTGAACCCCGTTCGGTATGGATTTTTTACTGGGCCTGCTCATCATAGAGCAATGGATCCGTTGTTTGGGTCGGGTATCCTGGGCCTTTTTGATCCGGGTATTGGGCCTCGGGATCAATAACCCAACAATACCTTTTTCTTTTTTTCCCTTTTCTTTTTCCCTTCTTTTCCCTTTTAATTTTCTTTCTTTTGCAGCTCCCCCCTTCTTCCTTCCCTTTTATTCATTTTTCCCCTTCTTCTCCAATCTCCCTGCAACTCCCTCTCCCCTATTCTTCAATCTCTTCTTTTTCTCAACTGCTTCTTCCCCCCACTCCCACCTAATTCAACCTTCCTCTCCCTTCACTCTTGCAATCTTGCCCACCCCTTTCTCCTTTCCCTTTTCTTTCTCTTTCCTCTTCCTCTTTCTCTTCTTCTCCACTCAACCTTCTTTCATGCCCACAGAAGGCAACCCGACGAAAACCTGACAAATACCCTTGCTCTTCTTCGTTGGCAACCAGACGGCGACGAGGAAGGTGGCGGCAGAGCTCGACGGGGTTGACGACGGCAGAGGTCGATGGCATAGAAAGATGGAGAGGTAGAGAAGGGAAGAAGCAAGAAAAAAGAGAAGAGAATAAAGAAAAAAAGAGAAAGAAGAAGGAAGGGACGAAGAGAATCAGAAAAGAAGAAAAGGGGGAGAAAGATGAAGAGTTGCAGGGAACAAGAAGAAGAAAGATTTAAAAAAAGGAAAATTTTATGGTGCATGTAAGTTAATGAATGTTTTGGTACATTCAACATTTCCCTGACTTCCTCTAGAAAATTATTTAGAAGTCCTCCCATCTAAACTAAGCCTCCTGATTTCACTGTTTCCATGGCAAAGCAAGAAAACAGAGCAATTTCGTCCTCTTCCATTCAATGCACCACACTCGCTTGGAGTTATCGTTGTCCTAAAAAGTATGTTTCATCTTCTTCCATTCACCGCCCTCGCTGGGAGATATTGTCTCTGAAAAGTGCAATGCTCAAAGAGGCAAAGACAGCGTAGAGCCCCACCCTACTGGTAGGATTGCCGCTGGGCGCTGCTAATGTATAGCAAGTAATTGAGCTTGAATTGGGTAATTTTTTCGTTGTCATATGTATTTGTTTGTCTTTCTCCTTCCTTCAAATCTTTCAAGTTCGATCATCTCTAATCAATTATTCAATTAATTATTTAGAAAACTATATGTCGATGTTATTTATGAGTGTCGAATTTAGTTTTTGTTAGCCCTTAATTTCCAGTCAATGGTTCACCCCCTCCTCCCATTCAATTAAGCATAAACCTGTTAGGAAACCGGACCGGCTCAGACCTCAATCACCATCAAGCCCAACGGCTTGCTCACACTCACCACCAGGGATACAACCAGGGAAGACAGAAGGGCGACAGCCAACTAGCCCTCACACAAAGAACCCAGACCCCAGCCCAGAGAACCCACCGGAGCAACGGATAACCCACCACACTACCAGACTAGAGTGAAGACCCCAATAGGAACCCAAGGTCTCACCGGAGCAAAGCCGGAGCTAAAGCTCAGAGGAAACCGGTACTCTCTCACTCTAGGTCTAGGGTAACAGAACTGAAGGGTCATCGTTTAGAGAGAAGGCGGAGAGGCAGAAATAGGAGGATTCCAGAAGAACCAGCCAAATATAAGGGAGGGCCACACGGGATGGGCTCAGGTATAAGACAAACGGGGGACGGATGGGCTTGGTCGGGTAGACAGCCCAATTGGGCCAGGACATTAATTAGGAGACCAACTCCATAAATGAGGTGGACCAATACCACAACAATCTCCTTCTTATTGGTCCCCCTGGTGGTGTAGAGCACAACGTGAAAGGGAGAATCATCATCGCCGGTTTTTCTTGTTTTACAGTTCTTATCTAGCCACAATCTAAATTAAGAATACGCTTACAAGACAACAGTTTTTCAAAAGTGAGACATTTAGTCCCCATATCTGCAGGGTTAAATTCTGAAGGTATCTTGGACAGCTTTATCCAACCTGCATCCACAATATTCCTAATAAAATGAAACCTGACATCAATGTGCTTGGTCCTGTCATGGAATACAGGATTCTTGCACAATTGGATAGCAGACTGGCTATCAGAGTACACTGTCACAACCTGCTTAAGAAAACCAATTTCAGTTAGCATTCTTTTAAGCCAAATAGCCTCTTTAAAGGCCTCAGTGGCTGCCACGTATTCAGATTCAGTAGTGGACAGTGCAACAATAGGTTTAAGTTGAGATTTCCAACTTATGCAGGAACCACAAAGAGTAAAAATGTAGGAAGTAGTAGACTTTCTATTGTCCCTATCATTTGCATAATTGGAGTCAACATAGCCAGTAAGTAAAATGCCAGTTTCAGTTTTAGAAAACACAAGACCATGAGAAGGTGTACCCCTAAGGTATCTAAGGAGCCATTTAAGGGCAGTCCAGTGAGACGTACCAGGGTTTGCCATATATCTACTTAAGCAACTAACAGCATAAGCTATATCAGGCCTTGTGCTTACCATGAGATACATGACTGACCCTATAGCACTGGAATAGGGTACAGCCTTCATCCTATCTATCTCAGGAGCAGTCCTTGGGGACTGATCCTTGCTTAGCACAAAATGGGGTGCTAAGGGAACATTCACAGGTTGGGCAGAGTCAATTTTGAACTTTTTCAAGACCTTTTCAAGATAGGAGGTTTGGTTTAGGGTAAGGGTACACCTACTCCTATCCCTAAGAATATTAATCCCTAGGATTCTCTTAGCATCTCCAAGATCTTTCATAGCAAAGTTTTCACAAAGGCACTTTTGAACTATCTTAATAGCATTCACAGAGGGGCTAATGATAAGCATGTCATCAACATAGATCAACAAGAAAACAGGTACAGAGGCAGTATTCTTAAAATACAAACAAGGGTCAGAATCAGACTTTTTGAAACTCAGGGAGGACATACACTGGTCAAACTTGATATTCCATTGTCTGGGAGACTGTTTCAGGCCATAGAGGGCCTTCCTAAGTAGACAGACATGTCTGGGGTACTTAGGGTCAATAAAACCCTCAGGTTGGCTCATGAAAATCTGTTTATCTAGCTCACCATGCAGGAAAGCAGTGGTAACATCCATCCGCTTCATCTCCCAGTCATTATGGGCAACTAGGGCAAACATCATCCTAATTGTTGTGAATTTTACTACGGGAGCAAAAATTTCAGCATAGTCTACCCCTTCCTTTTGAGTGAAACCTTTAGCCACTAACCTAGCTTTAAATCTAATGTCATTTGGTTCTTCTTTAACTTTGAAAAGCCATTTGCACTCAACAATAGAACAATTAGGAGTCCTAGGAACTAGGGTCCAGGTTTTATTCAACTTAAGAGAATCTATCTAACTTTGCATAGCACATAGCCAATTTTTAGATTCTCTAGAGGCAAGGGCTTCCTGGTAGGTTTTAGGCTCATTCAACTCAAGAGTTTCAAAAACAGAGAAAGCAAATAATGAAGTATCATACATGTGAAAAGCATAGTCAGTCATACTATCAGAAATCCTCTTAATGTTTCTTCTAGTCCTATCTCTGGCTAACACATAATCATCTAGACTCTCGTTCTCAACTTGGATCTCTCCAAGTTCTTCATTATTAGCAAAATCAGATTGAACAATCACATCATGAAAATTTTCATCATTACCACTGGGCTGCTCCACCTCACTAGAGGTGGAGTGGGTGTCATGCATGGTGTTGGTCAAATCAGGAGTACTGGACTCATTCACCAGAGGGGCAGCAGTGGTCTGGATAGGCTCCACCTCACTAGGAGAGGTGCCATCATGCACAGTTTGAGGGTCAGTCACATTTTGAACTAAGCAGGGAAAGTCACTTTCATTGAACACAACATTTCTGCTTTTAATGACCTTAAAACCACTCTGGTTTCTATCCCAGATCCTATATCCTTTAACACCTTCAGGATATCCTAAGAAAATGCATTTCTTAGACCTAGGGTCCAACTTATCAGACTGTTGATGTACATAGGCAACACACCCAAACACTTTTAAGTTTGACAAGTCCAGGGGTTTCTTAGAGAAGACAGACTCAGGGCACTTACCTTCTAAAGGTACAGAGGGGGATCTGTTTATCAGGTAGGTGGCAGTATTGACAGCTTCTCCCCAAAACTTCTTGGGGAGGCCAGAAGTGGCAAGCATACTCCTAACTTTGTCTAGGAGGGTCCTATTCATTCTCTCAGCTAAGCCATTCTGTTGGGGAGTATAGGGCACAGTCTTGTGTCTCCTAATCCCACTCTCAACACACAACCTATCCATATCCTTATTGCAGAATTCTAAGCCATTGTCAGTTCTAAGCGTTTTAACCTTACATCCAGTTTGATTTTCTACCATAATTTTCCATTCTTTAAACCTAACATACACATCAGATTTATGTTCTAACAAACAGACCCAGACTTTCCTAGAAAACTCATCAATTATGGACAGAAAGTACCTCCTACCCCCATGGGTAGGGATACTGGAAGGACCCCATACATCTGCATGTATGTAGTCAAGGACAGCTTTAGACTTAGGCTCACTAGAATAGCTAGAAACAGGAAACTGAACCCTATGTTGTTTACCTAGGACACAACCCTCACAGAAAGGTATGGGTGACACCAAGTCATTACCAAAACATCCAGTTTGTTTCAAAATATTCAATCCTCTATTACTCATGTGACCCAGTCTTTGGTGCCAAAGCACAGACTTGTCACTGAGTACAGCATTAGCATTTTCAGAAAAAGGTTTGGCATGCACAACATAAAGGTTATTTTGTTTCAAGGCTTTAAACAAAACAAGGGAGTTTTTCAAAATCTTCATACACCCATTTCCCCATTTACCCTCAAGACCACATTCTTCAAAAACAGAAACAGAAAGCAGGTTGTGCCTAAGATCAGGGACATGTCTAACATTTTTTAATTTGAAAACAGTTCCATTTTCAAACTTAAGACTTATGTCACCCACACCATGGACCTTACACTTCTTATTGTCAGCTAGGGACACATAACCAGAATCACAAGTACTATAAGAAGTAAACAGATTTTTAAAAGGAGTCATGTGGTAGGTACAACCTGAATCTATTAGCCATTCAAATTCAGTTAGGTTGCTTAGGGCAGAATTAGCATGATCACAGATCATGAACACTTCTTCACTAATTTCCTTATCAGTCACAGAGTTGGCATGTTCATTTCTTTTGGGTTGGGTACAGTCCTTTATGAAATGATCTGGGTTCCCACAGTTATAGCACACCCTTTTCCTAGACTTATGCCTTTTCTTGCTAGGTTGTCTACCATTCTTATCCTGATTGTCCTTTTTGGGGTTTTTAGACCTGCTTTTAGACCTTCCCCTAACAAACAAAGCTTCCCCAGATTCCTTATGATGGTTCCTAGAATGTTTTAAGTCAAGTTCTTTACTTCTCAGGCCATTAATAACAATATCAAGGGTTATGTCATCCCTCCCATATTTAATGGCAGACTTAACATCATTATAGGAATCAGGTATAGCATTCAATAAGACTATGGCAGTGTAGTCGTCTATATGTTTATCCCCAACCTGCTTAATGTTTTGGATTAGTTTGTTAAAAACATCTAGGTTTTCATCAATATCTTTTGATAGGTCAAGCCTAAACCTAAAAAACTTTTCCAACAAAAACAGTTTGCCAGGAAGGGAAGTATCAGTATATAGAGACTCAAGTTTATCTCAGAGGTCTTTAGCAGACTCAATGACTCCAACCTTTCTAAGGACAGAGTCAGAAAAGTTTAAATATATAGTTGAGCAGGCTATTTCATTCATTTCAACTTGTTTGGGTTTTTCCTCAGTTTCTAAGTATTGCCCAGTAATAGCTCTATGAACTTTCTGTTGTATTAACACACATTTTATCTTCTGTTTCCAAATGTCAAAGTCAGTCTTACCATTAAAAGGCATCATACCATACTGGTTTGAAGCCATGATAACAGTCACAACACAACAGCAGAGATACAGGTAATAAGAGAGCTTAACCCTGATGGTTTGGGCTGCGGACTAAGTGACCACACAGTTCCGGGGCCACTGAAGTGGCTGGCAGGGAATCACTTAGCCTTAACCTCAGGTGCCCTAGCCAGTCAGGGGTTAGGAAGCCACACAATTACCAGAACTCAGCACACAGAAGCGGAAGCAAAGTTGAAAAAACTGACTGAGCAGAGAAATAAACCAAAGATAATACAGCAGGAAAAATAAGTAGGGCACG